AGATCAGATCTTCTGGAAGGCGCTTGACTTGAACCAATTCACGATATTGCTTGATCGTAATCTATTATCGAGGAACCACCCGATCAATGCTTCTTAGATTTAAATATTTGTCCAAATAAGATTAGATTACGATGTAAACTGAGAGATAATGAGCCTAGACTCATCTTATCAATCGTCGATTAGTATAAAGTTTACTTGTTCAGATTACCAAAAAAGTAAACAGTTGTAATTTATGACACAGTTCAAACCTTCTCATATTTTCAATCCATTAAAAAATTTAAAGTCAATCACCAAAATTACTACAGATATATAGGATTTTACACATTTGAAATCATCAATCAATCATTGATAGACCAACATTAGAAACCTGGAAGCACTGGACGGCCGTTTCGTCCTGGTATGGGACTCATCAGCAGTGCGAATCCACGACTCCTGCACCTCGCAGGATTCGAACCTAGGACCTTCGGTATTGTGTGCGAACGCCTGATCATCGGACCACTGATCCGGCATCCAACGGTGTTAATGTCTAACTCTGATTGATCTACAGATTTTTGCGCGACCTCACCCTCGTGGATGCACACTGCTGATGAATCCCATACCAAGACGAAACGGCCGTCCAGTGCTTCCACGTTTCTAATGTTGGTCTAACAATGACCGATTGATGATTTCAAATGTATAAAAACACAAAACCTCCAAAACTCTGCCCAAAAATATAAGATTTTGTTGTAGGACAGAAAATACTTCAGTCAATAAATCATTCTCAAATAAAAACGAAAACACCTATCATGGTGATATTGATCGGAATTATTTACCAATCAATACAGTTACAGTACAATGATTATATGAATATATAAATCTTTTTGGATAGTGTAATGAGACGGCGAAGATTATCACAACCATGTGATATAATAATAAGGCAATAATACCATTTTGAACAATATGATCATATATATATATATTTGTTAAGAACGTTTATAATATTTGAGAAGGTCAATTTGACAAATGGATTACAAAACTAATCATCCTAGATATTAGCAGACATTACCAAAATAGGTTTAATGTGAGAACAAACTATTTCTCAATACATAAAATAGGTTTAGACTTTCGTATGTTCAAGGCTTCAATAAACCTTTGATATATATGTCCTTGAACATTATCATACGATATAACAACAGCCGAATTAAGATCATTTTAATGACCTATCTCAATTGATTGTTTAGCAAGCATATGAAGACAATGGATGTTTATCATCTGATCGTATTGAATCAGTTGATTTCATTAGTTTTTTTATAGCTATTTAGGTACATGTTCAGACACTGCCTACATTTGTGTGGCCATACACAAACGCAATGTGATATGATACAATCTATTTATATACTCTTTACGTGTTTCTTCTTTTCTGTTAAACCATCATCTTGTCTATTTATGAGTATGTCCTAGAAAAATGGAGTTGATTGTTCTTCACATGAAAGATTAATGTGGGTTTTGGAGGGTGCACAGTTTAGTCAACATGGTTCTACACTATCAGAAGGATTGATTGTTTTAAATATATATCGATCATCGATAGGTTAATTATTTCAAACATACTCTCAACATGTTTCTCTTGCATATATATTTTATTTTTCTAATCTAGAATTTATTAAAGAAAGAAAACTGACACAAAACTGACTTTATTTTATTGATATATTGAATTTAGTGGAAACACTGAATTCAATGAACATACACAGAAGGTTTTGTTCAATAATCAACATTTAAATCAAACTATTCAAGGTCAATTTTTAAATCTGTCTATTGACAGTTCTATTTTTTTTGGTGTAATTTAACACATAACTAATGACTCATTCATTCACAATAATTGAACCAAAGAAATAAAAATTCCCACTAATTCGTATTATAAACACAAATCACTGCTACTCACTAATCAATCGAAATTATAATTTAAATTGTAATTGAAAAAAAAGAAGCACTTGTTTAAAAAATTGGTTATAGATTTTTTTTTAGAAAAAAAAACAGTGAAGAGCACAGAGTTGACTGATTATCATTCAAGTTTGAATGATGTTCAATCAACTGATTAGTTGTATGGCGTGAAAAAATCTAGATTCTTTTGTGAAAAAATCACCAGTTTAAGGTTATTAGGTTGGAGAAACGTACGACAACTATTAATACGTGAACTGAAAAACAGAATTATTTAAATTAGGTTTAAAAAACATCCGTATTAATAGTTTTCATAATAATAGTAAGTGTTCCGAATATAAGTAAAATGTAATTATATGGTTTTAATATAAGTTTTAGAGTGACTCGAGATAATTTGTACTATGCTTCTAAAAGCTCATATTTACACTTTAGATATAAATGACGAATTTCATGGTATTGTTAGAATATTCATCCGATATCCTAACAGAATTATTTATGTAAGTCTAATTCTATTGGTCATCGTAACTGTCAGTGTCACATACTTGTTTCGTATTCGACCTAACTGTATAAATATGCATTGTCTGTAACGTTTTATCATCCGGATCCCCAGTCCGGGATTCCTATCTTCTTCTGAACTCGGACTTCGTACTTTCTGGATGTTTGTAGAATACATGTTTTACTTCATATCGATTCTTCTTCTTCTTTTACTCAATGGGGGTTTGGGACAATCGGATTAGAGTAGCATGTCGTGTCGCCTAATCTTCGATCCTCGCTTTGGTTGTCCGACTAAGGTAAACTCGTAATAGTTCAAGCATATCAAAATGACGTGTATTCGTAACATATTGATAATAGGGATAAAATATTTCATATGCTTCAGTAGAGTAAAAGAATATATCAAATAGTGCATTTTTTAAATGTAGAGGTGAATCAAATGGTCTAATGTTAGAAACAGCGACTAAAAACAGCCATACAGAAAACATACAATGCTGCTAAACTGATTATCATTGACAAGACTAAACCCATGATTTCACATAGACCAAAAAGTTGCTCGAATGATGAATACATCGCATCCCATTGCATTTATCAATTTACATGTTTGTGTGGACACACATACATAGGGAGGAGTAATCGAACTTTGCAATCAAGAGTTATGGAACATGTACCTAAGTGGCTTCAAAATCAGTTAACGTCACATGAGCCGATTAGTGTTAGAAATAGAAAACCCGGTTCATCGATCGCAAAACACACCTAATTGAGACAGAGCATTGTATAGAAATGTTGAAAAACGAATTTTGAAATCTATAAAAGCCTTGGCTATTCTCGTAAATTAAAACCCCGTTTATGTGTACAAAAGCAATTTGTTATAAGCTTGAATTTACCCTGGTCATCTCTAAATCTAGGGTCATGTGAAAACTACCTAACCTTACTTTTTCTTTTCATATTTTGAACTTTTATTTAATTTACACACTTTTGAAACCATGAATCGATCAATGTTAGACCACCATTAGAAACCTGGAAGTACTGGACAGCCGTTTCGTCCTGGTATGGGACTCTTCAGCAACGCGCATCCACGACTCCTGCAGCCCGCAGGATTCGAACCCAGGACCTCCTGTATTGTGCGCGAACGCCCTAACCGTTAGACCACTGAGCCGGTATCTGACGGTGTTAATGTATAACTTGATCAAATTCACGGAGTTGCGCAACCTCATACACAGTCTTCGGTAGTTACTTTCTACACACCAACAGGTTGAACTTCACTGGTCACGTCTTCCCACTAGAACTCGGAGAATATTCCTCACGAAGCTAGTCACTAGTAAGCACAGGTAATTTGTAATACGGGTTTGTTGTGAAGATTGTTAAGTTACACATTTTTCAAAACCATGAATCGATCAATGTTACACTACCGCCATTAGAAACCTGGAAGCACTGTAAGACGGCCGTTTCATCCTGGTATGGAGGAACCTTTTATTCATCTTCATATAAACTACCTTGAAAAGTGTTGAATATGTGACCAGATTGTTTCGAAATGTGTATACAACACAAATACATCATAAAATCATCTATCCAAGTCAATATCTAGCAAAGCAAACTAAAAACACAACAAAAAACACAGAACTATTCAAATCTTTTAAATAATATAATAATAATTATTATTATGTTTTTTTAAAATTACAGATCAAATGATAGGATAAACGAAAACATGTACAGAAAAGAAATCTTCATTAAACTGAATATGTATATATATATATATTGTACAACCAAAAATTGATCAATGGTTGTTTTATTGTGAGAAATTTTTTTGTTGTTGTTGAAATTGCCATTACATATACAATAATAATAATAATAATAATAATAATAATAATAATAATTAAATCAGTTAAGTATTATAAAAAAAAGTCAATATTACAAAGAGTAGAACAAATTATGCATAAATGATTAAGCGAAGTAATAATAATAATAATAATAATAATAATGATAAACGGAAAATGTACCATTTAAGCGGTAGGTAGATAGATAGTTAGATAGATAGACAGGCAGATAGATTGATAGATAGACATACAGACAGACAAATGGATAGACAAATGAAGAAGAGGAAGAAGACGAATGAAATGTTAACACTTTTCGTCAATGCAACAACAATTAATACTCTTTTTATTATGAATTTATTTTACAATAATGACATGAGAAAGAATGATGATTGAAGCCAGAAAAAAATAAATAAAAATAACCATATCATATCCCAAAAAGATAAATTTCAATCAGTGTATCAGTATGACAAATGTGTACATTTTTTTTATTTAAGTGAATGAACACTTACTTCACCAATCAGTCAACCAATCAACCAATCAATCGATCGATCGATCGATCGATAGATAGATAGATAGACAGATAGATATTATGGTGTTGCAAGATTGTCAGTTTCTTGTTCATTTATTACACCAATCATATCATGTGATGCTATAATATATAATATATATATAATATATATTGGGTAAATTATAAGAAAATAAAATTATTTGATAGGAAAAAAATTGAAGATAGATTTTATATAGTAATAATGATGATTATTTAAACAAAATAAATAAATATAAGAGTTAAAACAGAATGTTTTTTTTTTAAAAAAAATCTGTCCATGAGTGAATCCTATTTATTACTTAGGATTATAAAATTTAATTGAAACATTAAGGCTTCAATGGTTTTCTTAAGAAAAAATTTTTTTTATCATTAAACACAGTATAGAGTAGTAGTAGTGGTGGTAGTAGTATTGTTTAGCCTTAATAAGTAGTATAATCAAGTTGAGAAGTAATATCAGAGAGAAATAGATTGTTGATATACTACTCTGTCTACTATGTCTAGATTTGAAAATAATATCATCATTAAGAATAAGTGACAGTTGTACAATCAATTATATTTTTTTGAGCTAAACCACTAGATGGCTAACTTCGGTGGTTAGAAAAAAAAAGCACTCGCGATTTAAAGGTCTCAAGGTTGTGGAGGGATTGCAGAGACCAATGAACGAGAATACTTATTCATATTGAGATAGAACATTTGTCCAATGATTCCTGTTTACCATTATAAGGAATAGATCTCGGTGAACACTCTGGATAGGATTTAAGAAAGGAAGAACAAGAAGTCAGTAATCAATATCAACTGAACAAAGCGTAGGAAAAGATAAGTCACACAAACTGGATACATAGAATCAAACAATAAAGTGAAATGGATCATCAGATGTGACAAATGTAAATATATGTAGCAATGATAGCAGAAAAAGCCGCAAGAGAAGGAAACATGAGACAATTATATGATATTTAGTGGCTACGTTAAATCTGAAGTAGGGCTCACCAACTTTAGTGGCCCGTTATCTGATATCGATAATAATAGATTAATGCGACGAGTTGATAGATGCGCAAAGTAACAATAACATATGTGCAAATAATCAATGAACTCGCCTTGCTGCGTACGTCGAATATGAGATTGAGTTGTCCTCTTTGTTTATCGAGTCCGATACGATTCAATTTATCGAATGTATGGAATTCGAATGGTTGGAACTCGATGTAGCTTTGCAGGATGCGTGAAGTTCGACGTCGAGCTCACCGCTATGGTGGCCCATGATCTAACTCCAGTTTATACGAATGATCGAGTATGCGATGAAACACATCTTCCATCTAATTCCTGTATATCATACTTAGGTGAACCCTGTTTGTGCAACGGTATTAAGAAGCCAAATAAGGTTTTGTAGATGAATTTATTTCATGCGTTTGTTTTAAGCAGACAGACATGAGAATGAGAAGGCGAGCGAGCCAACTCAATGTAATGAGGCATGACTAAGCATTTATAGTCAGGCATTAATAAGCTAGACATGTGATAAGCGGAGTAAGCAAGCACACACGCACTCAAATAAAAACAACCAAGGTTATGAGCGAATATGGAAAAGGTCGAAAAACGTGTGAATAATGACTTGAGGAAAATGGATTAAATAGTTTGTTAAACGGCTGAGACAAGCTCTATGGGTTAGACGTTAGTGCAGACCTGCAAAAACAACGAGGAAGCCTGATGGAAAATATCGCAAACCAGAACGACCAGTGAGAAGTAAGCAAAGCAAAGTAATCATCGACACTCAAGGAACAGTGAAATAGATGGGTAGAGCGTTTTGAAGAACTCTTGAATTGACCTGCCCCTCTGAACTTACTCAACATAGATGCGGCACCCACGGACCTCAGTCAGTCACATGCAACGTAGAACTTTGTACGTAAGTACATCAGTTCATGTTGCCATACCACATTAGCGCAGAGATGCAATTGTCAATTCAAATCCAATAGTAGAAGAGGTAGTAAGGGAATTAGAAGTAATCGGAGAGGTTAGGATTAGAAGATATTATACAAGGAGTATGATTCAGTGAGAAAAGTTTGGAAAGACAAAACTAGAGGTGTTGAAGAATCCAGAAGATTAGGATTAAAGACAACACAAAGAATAAATGCACCGGCGCCATTGCAAACGGTTTTGAGACATGTCATTCAGGATCTCTAACCATCGATTATTATCATCTCGCGGACCCCGACCAGGTAGTCGACAACTACCGGCATGGCTAAGTCCACTCGTCAATGACTTCATGGATTTCTGCCATGTTTTGGTTTGGCCGCCCCTAACTTTCTTCCAACCTATTCCTACACTACAAAACAAAGCTCGTCGAGGCAGTCGGTGGTTCGGCATACGCAACACATGTCCCAACCACCTCAACTGACGAAGTTTCATTACCTCATCTATTGATCTGCCATTCTTACCTAGCACCCGATTCTTAATAATAGCGTTGCTCACTCGGGTGTCCCACGAAATACGAGCAATGCTTCGAAGACACCTATGGTCAAAAACCAGTATTCTACGAATATCCTCTACTCTCACTGGCCATGTTTCACAGCCATAATGTAAGACGGAGCGAACCACTGCACAGTACACTCGTCCTTTAGTCAGCAAACGGATATCTCGCCTACGCCATAAGTGACACAGGTTGGCAAAAGCTAGTTGAGCGGTCTACATTCTTGCTGAAGTTTCGTCAGACACCTGGCCATCAGTACTGGTGATGAAAAAGAAGATAGATTAGTGTTGGTTGCATGACCGCAAATCCCAGGGGACAACTGCTTGAGGCCGGTCACACACGGCCATTTCATTAAAGGATTTTGAGTATTAGCTCCGCTCTTGAAAGCCCTTAGTGGGCACCCTTACCCAAGGAGACGGAAATCCGTGAGGTAGGGTGAGGTGTGACAATTTTAGGGTCGACCTTTTCTAACCCTTCCTTCCTTGTCAAAAGGCAGCACCAGTGCAGATGCCGGTTGTCCGAGGGAAACACATTACTGCTGTCACACCTCTCTGCAGTCAGCAGTACAACTTCGCCCTCAGAACTTGAGTAGCTGCTTTTAGTCTCATAGTTCTCCAATCGACCTGCCTGGCATGGTAGAACCTTCAGAAACATATGTTCCAGCCAATATAGCTCGGTTAGGTCATCACGATAGGCAAGCCCAACCACCACGTCAAGGTAGCAGCTACGGTCGGGACCCACGGACCTCCAAAATGATGTCGACCCACCAACAATTGAAGGGATCAGTATAGTCATCAGACAAGTTAAGAACGGAAAGGCAGCAGGATCAGACAAATTTCCAGCAACGGCACAACCAAATATAGAAGTAACTTCAAAATTACTGAACATTCTCTTCAGAAAGATTTGGGAGGAAGAACAAGTACCAACAGACTGGAAAGAAGGACATCTCATCAAAATACGAAAGAAAGATCTCAGCAAGTGTGAGAACTACAGAGGCATCAATCTACTCTCGATACCAATAAAAGTCTGCAGCTGAGTATTTTTAAACCGAATGAAGGATTCCGTAGACGCCGAACCTTGAGATCAGCAGGCTGGATTTAGTAAGGAAATAACTTCATTTATTATCAGGAAGTATTCAACAGCGTGGACAGGATAACACTATAGGGGCCTCTTCAACAATATGGTGTGCCTGAGAAGGCAGTCGTTGTACGGAATTCTTAAGATGTATTATAATGCAAGATTGTGCATGGAGGATAGCTCGAAAACTCGTTCCAAGTGAAAGTCGGCGTCAAACAAGGTTCCTTACTCTCACCAAATCTCTTTCTCCTGATAGTCGACTAGATTACGAATACGTAAATATTTGGAGCAAAGCACGGGATACAGTGAAGAGCTACAATGTAGCTGGACGATCTAGACTTTACAGATGATCTGGCTCTTCTATTTCACACGCAACAAGTGCAGAAGAAGACGACTACAGTAGCAGCAGTTTTGGAAGTAGTATGTCTCAACAAGCACAAGGGAAAAAGCAAGATCCACCGATACAATATATCATGCATCAACTAAATAACACTTCCTGGAGAGATTTTGAAGAATGTACAAAACTTTTCAATAAAAATGTCAAAACAGTTATACTGTATGGAGCGGAAACTTGGAGAACCACGAAAGTCATCACCCACAAGATACAAGTATTTATTAACAGCTGTCCACGCAAAATACTTCGGATCTGTTGGCCAGACACCATCAACAACAACCTGAGGGAGAGAAGAAACTAGATTCTAGCAGAGGTAGAAATCAGGAAGATGCGCTAGAGGTGGATAAGATAGACATTGTGGGAACCACTCGACTGAGTCACAAGACAAGCCCTCAGTTGGAACCCTCAAGGCCAAAGAACACATTGCGCCGAGAAATGGAAGCGATATGAGAAGAATGAACAAAAATTGGACAGAACTGGAAAGGGAAGCCCAGAACAGAGTGGGTTGAAGAATGCTCAATTAGGGGTAACAGGCTTAAGTAAGTAAGTAAGTCAGTCTGTGACATGAAACCTAAAATTTGATCATCTCCAAAACTTACTATAATAACAACGATAGTTAGTTCATTAGTACATGTGAGATTTGTGAAGATAACAGGAATTTTCATCGTTTGGATCACGAAATGATTTTAAATGAACCACCAGTGAAAACGGACGTTTCATCTCAGTATGGCACTCTTCGTTAACGTGCATTCACGAACCAGGAATCGAAACCAGGACATTTGAGCCCTCTTGCAAACGTCTCACCTCAAGACCACTGTCAGTCAGTTAGTTACAATGTAGAACTTCGTACGTACGTACATCAGTTCAAGCTGACATACCACAGTAGTACACAGATGCACTTGTCAATTCAAATCACATAGTAGTAGAGGCAGTAGAAGTATTAGCAGTAATCAAAAAGATTAATGATCGAATATACAATTCGGGATGTAGACCGCAGAGGAATCAGTTGAAAAAAGAGAAAAAACGGTCATGAGGAATTTAGAAGGTTCGAATTTGAGAGAAAACAAAGAATGGATACACCTGAGCCATTGCAAACGATTTCGAGCCATGTTATTCAAGGTATCTATGTCTAGCTTCAACTAATCCATGATACTGCTCAATTATTATTTAGTGCTTATGGTGAATAACTGTCTTACACTTCATATAGTTGAACCTTATTGGTGACGGCTTCTTACTAGAAATCCAGAAGTTGAATAGTGAAGCCAGTCACTTGTAAGCCTAGTGGTCTAGAAGTGAAGTGACGGCAAGCGGCACCGAAGGCGTTAGGTCCGATTTCCGTATGTGAAGTCGTGGATGTGCGCTAATGAGGATTCCTATATTGGAATGAAACGCCCTTCTAGTACTGTTAGGCTCTCAGTGGTAGTCTCACTTAGGTCAGTTTGTAATTTAAACTATGAAAATTCATTAACTTCTATAATATGCTGCGCTTTGTAACAAAAAGGTTTTTGTACATATGCGTGAACAATAGAAAGTAGTTGCGACTACGAACTACGGTTGTTTGAAGTGTCCAATAAACAAGTTGAATGAATTATAACGCTATTTGATATGGAAAACTTAATAGTCTATATTCTATTTAGATCTTGATGGAAATGTGAATCAGGATTCAATTACATAAACATGCACTATAGGTTACTACTTAGTAAATGAATCTGTATTATGATTACTATTAAATTCTTGGCAGTGGTTCATTCTCTGGGCTGGGTGTTTCGGTTGTGGAGTTTCATTGTTCTTCTTCTGAACAACATTATCAGCACAAACTTCAGATAGCAGAAGGGAAGAATATTCGAATTTCTTCACGTGTGACTGATAGCTGAAGCTGTTGACCTCGATTGGTTGTTATTGACCTTAAACCTGTCATTGTTTTTCACCTTTATTTTGATTGTATCTCCCTTTTGATCTATTTCTTCATCCAATGTTACCTATGATCTCTTTGATTGGTCGATGAATTGGGTCAATATCGATGTGTTTGTTGATTGTTAATTGACCTAAGTGCCCAACTTCTAAAAATTCCTTACTGTTCTTTGTACTTCTCCTATCCAGTATTTTAACATGATTCCAATCAAAACGTATATCCATAGTTGTCCACATGTATTGATATAAACGAAGAAATGTCACAAAGTTTAACTGCTAACTGTTGTTCACGTAAACGAATCTGAACAGAACGTCCACTTTGTTCTAATGTGATGTGTGTTCTTTCTTCCCTTGTCTTTTGGTCTACACACACACATAGTGTGGTGCTGTGGTGCGAGCTACTTATAAGTAGTATATGACGTGAGCGTCAACGTAATGTCTGACAGCAGAAGATGAGGGAAGATCAAGAAAGGAAGAGTTAGAAAACAATGAAATTTGTATGAAACGCATGAATAGTGACAATCGATTGATGTTGTGTTTACAACAGGAACAGTCCAGTTCGATATGATGAACTGTTATTTTGCAAATGAACGATTTACGATATGGTTTTCCGATTTCACTGAGTAACTCTGTAATTTTCGTTATATACAATTCGGTTACCCCCACCTGTGTTCGCTTTCACTACAATAGGACTGATTTGAAATAATTCTATTGGTTTATATGTTACACCTAATATTGCATAAATCGTCTTCTCAGTAGTCATGCTACTACTAAATTACTACTAAATTTATTAATACTCTTTTAAATTCATTTGAATGATATATAAGTAGATTAATTTGTAAAAAAAAGTAAGACAATAAAACTTTTAAACACATACACAATGGTTATAAACTGATTTTATGATTAATAATAATAATAATAATAATAATAATAATAATAAATCATTACCTTCAATAGCTTTATGAACATCATTTTTAGCTTGAATCAAAAATAAAGTCACCATAAGAAATAAGAAACCTCCAAGAGCACAAACAAACGCTGTAAGAAATAATGCTCGTTGTAAGCCTAAATATTGTGTTTCTAATGAATGTAAATCAGTTAAAGCTACTGCAATCTAAAAAGGAAAGAGACAAGTAAAAACATAATTCAATTGTCGTTTGATACCACATAAAAAGAGGAAACACATATATATACATCATTCCAAACAGATCCTTCCAATAGTACACTTGTGTTTAAAAATTTTAACCGAGATATTCTTCGTAATAATCTGTTGGGGAAGTGAGATCTCCAGAACTCACTTGGAAAATGTCCTAATTTAGTAATTTTCAATTTCCATGTTTTCGCGCCAAAGACGCTCATTTTGACTTTGAGCTTGCATTTCTCATTTGGGAAATCTTTGACTGTCATTGGTTGATGGATTATTTTAATAGGTTATTTTGTGGCTCTCACCAAGAGCGTCCGATCAATTGTATAAATAAGTTTGAGTTGTGTGCTTGGTAACTTCAATCTTTATGGATGCCTATGAAATACAGTTCTCCAAGTCTTATTAAGATTTCTTCTTCTAGTTAGTGGGGCGATCCTTCTGACTACCCTAAGCAACAATGCAAGCATGTTCGGGATGCCGTTTTCCCCCTCGAAATGCAAAATGTTGCTGCAAGATTGGGTTGCATTGGCACCTGAACTAGTGATAGGGAGTGAAGTAGTCGAGTGGGTTGATCACTTCACTTATCTGAGGAGTCTCATCAGCGATGACAGACTGGTGACTGACGAAATCTCAGCTCGGATACAGAAAGCTCGATTTGTTTTTGCCAACCTACGTCACTTATGGCGTAGGCGTGATATCCGTTCGCTAACACAAGGGCGGGTGCACTGCGCAGCAGTTCGTTCCGTTCTCCTACATGGATGCGAAACATGGCCGTTAAGAGTAGAAGATGTTCGTAGGTTACTAGTATTCGATCATCGATGTCTCTGAAGCATTGCTCGTATATCGTGCGACAACCGAGTAAGCAATGCTGTCGTTAGGAAACGACTGAGTGAGACGATCAGATTAGAGTAGCCTATCGTGTCTCTGAACCATTGATCTTCTTTGCGTTTACCGAGTAAGGAGAACTCGTACTAGTTCAAGCGTATTAGAATCATTGAACCACTATGTAAACGAGTATAGCCTTTGTAATATAATTTGATTTTTGGTTTAAAACAAACGGTACTGAGTTCAAATGCTGGAATGAACATTAATTCTGATATACAAATACATCCAGTTGACAAGTACGTCCTACATTCCACTGCTATTTTACATCAACTTGTGTCATAATGGTTATGTCTAAGGCAATGCATTCTGGCTTTCTGTAAGCCAAAAAAAATATCAACAAGCGAATAAATAATCTAAACAATTTCAAGTTTAAGTGATTGGTGGGCCTATCACATCATAATAAGATACTTCACCAATGACGTTATTGTTAAGATATTCATCCAATATCCTGAGAAAATTATTGGTCAATTCTGTGGTCGTCCCAGATATCAATGTCAGGTACTCCAATGTTGTTTCTTATTGGTCGTCCTAACTGTCAATGTCACAGATTTCGATGCTGTTTTCTATTCGACTTAAATGTATAAAATACGCATTATCTGTAACGTTTTACGACCCGGACACGGATCCGTAGTTCGGAATCCTGGTTCTCTTTTGGACTCAGACCTCGTACTTTCTGAATGCTCGTAGAATACAGGTTCTACTTCATATCAAGTTGTCTTCTTCTTCTTTTATTGAATGGGGGTTGGGACCATCGGATAAAAGTAGCCTGTCGTGTCGCCGGATCCTCGCTCTCATTTTCCGACTTAGGTAAACTCGTAATAGTTCAAGCATATCAAATGACATGTTTACGTGTATGCATAACAGTTATGACTGGTGTTGAAAAGCTTAATCTACAACAAATAAATTTGAAAACTACTCTTTTATTGTTAGATTCATTCATTCAGTATAAAATAAATAAAAATAAAAGTATCTTCATTTCATCTATTTTGAAAAAAACTAGAAATATATATATACACACATATATTGATATACTTGAAACTATAACGAGTTCACCTTACTCGGTAAACGGAACGAAGATCAACAATGCAGTGACACGATAGGCTATTCTAATACGATTGTCCCAAGCCCTGTTAACTAGAGCAAAGAAGTCTTGATAAGACGTAGAGAGAATGGTATTTCACAGGTACGCAGAAAGTATGAGATCCATAAGCACACAACTCAAGCTTATTCATACAATTGATAAAACGCGCTTGGTGAGGGCCACAAAATAGCCTACTAAAATAATCCATCATATATATATATATATATATATATATATATATATATATATATATATATATATATATATAATTAGATTAGAAGGATACAACATACTCTTGGGGAGGTTAGATCCCCAGATCTCACTGATTTCGGATTTTATGGTTGCGCACATGGGCTGATCGGTTGACCTTGAGATTACATTTCCCATTTGGAAAATCCTTGGCTGCTATTGGTTGATGTATTATTTTAGTACTCTACTTTTGTGGCTCTCTTAAGGGCGTTTCTATCATGTATAAATAAACTTGATTTGTTTGCTCGTTAACTTCATATTTTCTGGGTGCTTTTAGAATACACTTTCTACGCCATATCAAGATTTTTTGATTTCATTAACAGGGCCGGGGACAATCGAATCGGAATAACCTATCGTGTCACTGGATTATTCGCCTTCGCTCTCATTTACCGACTACGCTGAACTCGTAATAATTTCAAGGATATCAATTGACGAGCATAATACTTACCCGACCAACAATAGCCGGACTGATAGCATCTCCTAATGCATGACTCATAACCATTTGAAGTGCAGATGCTGTAGAACGGCGAGTCGGTATAACTACTCCCTAAAGGTAAAATAGGAAAAGAAAAGTTTCAATGAATTACTTCTATGTAATTATTAAACAATACACTCAATTGAAATCATGAATCATCAATGTTGGACCACTATTAGAAACCTGGAAGCATTGAACGGCTGTTTCGTCCTGGTATGGGACTCATCAGCAGTGCGTATCTACGACTCCTGCACCTTCCAGGATTCACACCCAGGACCAACGTTCTTGCATGCAAACGCTTAACGTCTGGACCACTGAGTCGGTATCTAACGGTTTTAATGTCTAACTTCAATCAATTCAGGGTCGCGGATGCGCACTGCTGATAAGTCCCATACCAGGACGAAACGGCCGTCCATTACTTTTAGGTTTCTAATAGTGGTTTAACAATGATTGATTCATGATTCTAAAGGTGTAACTTAACAATCTTCACAACCCCGTAATGCAAATACACTCAAGTAGATTACATCCCGAAATCTCAGCTCGGATACAGAAGGCTCGATTGGCTTTTGCCAACCTACGTCACTTATGGCGTAGGCGTGCTATCCGTTCTCTAATCAAAGGACGAGTGCAGCAGTTCGCTCCGTTCTCCTATATGGCTGTGAAACATGGCCAGTGAGAGTAGAAGATATTCGTAGGTTACTAGTATTCGATCATAGATGTTTAAGAAGCATTGCTCGTATACCGTGGGACAACCGAGTGAGCGATGCTGTCGTTAGGAAACGAGTACTAGGAAAGGATGGGAGAGCAATAGATGAAGTACTGAAACTTCATCAGTTGAGGTGGTTGGGACATGTGCTCCATGTGCCTATCCACCGACTGCCTCGACGAACTTTGTTTTGAGGTGTAGGAGTAGGTTGGAAGAAAGTTAGGGGCGGCCACACCAAAACGTGGCATAAATGAATGAAGTCACTGACAAGTGGACTGAGTCATGTCGGTAGTTGTCGACTACCTGGTTGGGGTCCGCGAGATGATAATAATCAATGGTTAGAGACCCTGAATGACATGGCTCAAAATCGTTCGCAATCGCGCCGGTGCATTTATTCTTTGTGTTCTCTCAAAAATCCTAATCTTCTGAATTCTTCAACACCTCTAGTTTTGACTTTCTTAACTTAACTCACCGAATCATACTTCTTGAATAGTATCTTCTAACCCTAACCTCTCCGATTACTTCTAATTCCGTTACTACCTCTACTACTATCGGATTTGAAGTGACAATTACTTCTCTGTGCTGATGTGATATGGCAACATGAATCGATGTACTTATGTACAAAGTTCTACGTTGCATCTGACTGACTGACTGACATCCCGATAGTATATGGTACGAAAGAGAGAGAGAAAATCTCGACAAATCAACGAAACATTTCTAGATGCTTTTTATATGATTAATAAATAATACACTTGAAATTAATGATACGAGGATAAGTAAGAAGGTTTATAAAAATAATTAATTATAAGATACTCTGAGTATAAATAATAGTTACTAAGTTAAGACATTTGAATGATTTAAGACAATTTTTAATGAATATTTTAAATAGACATTGTAGTAATACGTTCTGAGAGATGTACAATGAATATTACACTAGTAAATGTTAAAGATGACTTTTTTTTTTCAAAATATATATATCATTTCATATGGGTATCGAATTGAATAGCAACGAGATATTATTATTATTACTATTATTATCGACAGTACACTTAGTATAATAATATATCACACTGATCAACGATCACAGACTAACGCAGATCAGATCATCTGTTTATAGACAAGCAGATGTCTAGAATGTGATACAGGTGGCATAACTTGACAAAAACTTTTTATATCTATGCAAAGATTTTATTGGCTATTAACCAAAAAAATGAGACTGATGAGGTATTCAAAATTCAATTTTATAAGAAATAGAAAAATCACAATCGAGATAGGAAGTCAGTTTGATTATTTACTTAACTAACAACATTTAAATGATCTTCGTAAAATAGGCAGTCAGTCATTTGCAGTGTAGAACGTCGTACGTATGCACGCACGCACATAAGTTCCGGTTGCCATACTACATTAGCACAGAGACGAAACTGTCGGTTCAAAGTCCATAGTAGTAGATGTAGTAGAAGTATTACCGGTAATGGAAAAGATTGGCGTTCGAAAATATTATTCAAGAAGTATAATTCAGTGAAATAACCTTAAAAGGAAGATAGAGCTGATAAGGGATTCTAAAGATTAGAATTTGAGAGAACACAAAGAGTGGATGCACTTGCGTCATTTCAAACGATTTTGAGTCATGTCATTCAAAGTCTCTAACCATTGATTACTATCATCTCGCAGATCCTAACCAGGTAGTCAACACTCACTAACACGACTCAGTCCAGTTCGTAAAATTGGTATCAAAAGATAATCGTTGAAGAAAAAGGAGGGAAACAATATAACGATAATAATAAGAAAATCAAAGGATTCAGTTCAAACGGAAGTATATAGGTTCAGGAAAATGTTACTGAGACCTCTTGACTGAATAACCAATCAAGTTAAGCCACTGTCTTGCTAGAGAAGTCAATAGTGAATATTGAACAATTTACCAAATATTTTTGAGGTCAATAATCAATTGAACGTTATGGATCGGGCCAAGCAGCAGTGTGTTTATACTCTGTACTTGTTATAATTCTCTCTTATTATTACAACCCAGCTATTCCTAATGCTTAGTAGTATTCTCGGACACTAATTCACTCAAGAAGTTCTCCCGAAACGGGAACACGGTTAAACAGGAAATAGATTATATGCAATAACAAGGTTAGACAGAAGTCAAGAAGCTCAAAAACGTTAGTATACTTATAGTTTCCTATATGAGAAGGTTCTAGAATGTTTCCTTAGTATTGGCTAGCGCTGATTGGATACGAAAGAGCCAAACAGCATGAAACAACGCCATTATGTATGGAACATGCTCTAATCTATATCCCACTAACAATACTTCTTTAATCTGTTTTATCCAACAAGTTTAATGAATTTAGTAGGATTTTATTCGTTCTGTACAGTCATCAAAAAGATCCGCATTGCTCGGATACCAAGATGAGAGAGATATGAGTTCAGAGGTCACAACTTTCCCGTTCGACCTGAGTAGACTCACCATACACATTGATAATTTATGAGTATAAATGAGAAGCCTTTTATTCATGGCCACTTCGATACTAAGAGGGTCTTAAAAATGGACTACTATGATCTAATATTAACCCCAAAAGATGCGTGAAAACTTTGGGAATCTGTAAGTTATGCCTTCTTCTTGCAAAGGATTTTATTACTCTTCATTAAGTGAAGCCTTATTTAATAATCAAAACGTAACACTAAAGACAAGCAAGTTTTTTGAAAGGTATCTATATAAATATTGGTAACTGAACTCTTCCTACGCTCATACATACAGTTAGTCAGTTGCAACATAGAACGTCGTACGTATGTACATGAGTTCATGTTGCCATACCACATTAGCACAGAGACGCAAGTGTCATATCAAATCCCATAGTGATAAATATAGTAGAAGTATTAATGGTAATAAAGAAGACTACGGTTTGAAGATATTATTCAAGAAGGATAATTCAGTGAGATAAGGTTAGAAAGACAAAACTAGAGGTGCTGACGAATCCAGAAGATTAGGATTTGAGAGAGCTCAAAGGGTGGATGCACCTGTGCCATTGCAAACGATTTTGAGCCATGTCGTTCAAGGTCTCTAACCATCGGTGAATTTCGTCTAACAGACCCCAATCAGGTAGTCTACATCTACCAATATGACTCAGTCCACTTGTCAGTGACTTCATGCATTTCTGCCATGTTTTGCTTTGGCCGCCCCTAACTTTCTTCCAACCTACTCCTACACCACAAAACATAGCTCGTCAAGGCAGTCGGTGGTTAGGTATTCGTAACACATGTCCCAACCACCTCAAATGATGAAGTTTCAATACTTCATTTATTGATCTGCCATTCTTACCTAGCACCCATTTCCTAACGACAGCATTGCTTACTCGGTTGTTTCACGTTATACGAGCAATGCTTCTTAAACATCTATGATCGAATACTAGTAACCTACGAACATCTACTCTTAACAGCCATGTTTCGCATCCATGTAGAAGAACGGAACGAACTGCCGCGCAGTACACCCGTCCTTTGGTCAGCGAACGGATATCTTGCCTACGCCATAAGTGACACAGGTTGGCAAAAGCCGATCGAGCTTTCTGTATCCGAGCTGAGATTTCGTCAGTAACCAGGCTATCAGCGCTGATGAGACTCTCCAGATCATCATACATACAACCAATTTAATGGTGACCAAAGTCATAAAGTTAACAGTAAAACTACAGACCAATCAATATATATATATATATATATATATATATACATGCAAATCAAAAACATGAAAAAAAACAGCATAGTATTAAACAAACCATTGAAAAATATGAACATATAATCAGCTCAGCATGCCATATCTAGTAGTATGTACTTTTTTTTAAAAAGATGAGATACTCTACTCATTAAAAAAAAAACATATTCAATTCTATCCTACAGATTATAAACAATGTTAACATGGAAGTAAAAGCAAACAAAAAACTAAACTATTCATCGATCAATACTAACCATAGTCATATCCGCTACAAGAGCCCATGTGATACATAAAAGAAATTCCACAATGAAAACAAGAATCTATATAAAATAAAAACAGAGAAAAGGAGAAAATATGAAAAATTCAATAAAAACAATGGTAAATAAGAATAACAGACATGATGCATACATAAACTTAATTAATAAGAAAATACACCTTAGAAAATGATCCAACAGAGTCTGAACTTTCTAGAGTAGACCTTCTACCAGGTGGCTCGCTTATTGACTTAGAATATGCCAATGACATAGTCCTACTTGGTGAAGATGCTGACAAAATGCAGAGTCTTCTGACCACCCTAAGCAACAATGCAAGCATGTTCGGGATGCGGTTGTTCCCCCCTCGAAATGCAAAATGTTGCTTCAAGACTGGGTTGCATTGGCACCTGAACTAGTGATAGGTAGTGAAGTAGTCGAACGTGTAGACCGCTTCACTTATTTTGGGAGTCTCATCAGTGCCGATGGCCTGATGACTGACGAAATCTCAGCTCGGATACAGAAGGCTCGATTGGCTTTTGCCAACCTGTGTCACTTATGGCGTAGGCGTGATATCCGTTCTCTAATCAAAGGACGAGTGTACTGTGCAGCAGTTCGCTCCGTTCTCCTATATGGCTGTGAAACATGGCCAGTGAGAGTAGAAGATATTCGTAGGTTACTGGTTTTCGACCATAGGTGTCTTCGAAGCATTGCTCGTATACCGTGGGACAACAGAGTAAGCAATGCTGTCGTTAGGAAACGAGTACTAGGCAAGGATGGCAGATCAATCGATGAAGTATTAAAAGTGTATCAGTTGAGATGGTTGGGACATGTCTTGCGTATGCCGAACCACCGACTGCCTCGACGAACTTTGTTTTGTTGTGTAGGAGTAGGTTGGAAGAAAGTTAGGGGCGGCCAAACCAAAACATGGCAAAAATCCATGAAATCATTGACGAGTGGACTTATCCATGTTGGTAATTGCCGACTACCTGGTTGGGGTCCGCGAGATGATAATAATCGATGGTTAAATACCCTGAATGACATGGCTCAAAATCGTTCGCAATGGCGCCTGTGCATTTATTCTTTGTGCCCTCTCAAACCCAAATCTTCTGGATTGTTCAACACCTCTAGTTTCGACTCTCTAAACTTTTTTCACTGAATCATACTTTTTGAATAGTATCTTCTAACTCTAACCTCTCCGATTACTTCTAATTCCCTTACTACCTCTACTACTATTGGATTTGAATTGACAGTTGTGTCTCTGTGCTGATGTGGTATGGCAACATGAACTGATGTACTTACGTACGAAGTTCTACGTTGCATCTGACTGACTGACTGATCCAACAGAGTATTTTTTTGGATAGTGAATTCTTTCCAATTAGACTATTGTCGGTTTGTATGTGATGCCGTTTTAGTTTTTTTTTACAAGCTAGAGTCTTTTGAACATTCATTAATTCTCAGGAATGGCTGAATAGTAAAGTGTATTGTTTGTTATATGCAGGATTTTCGGTAAGAAATACAATCAATTTCTTCTTAAAGTAATTGTTAGGATATTTATCCAATATCCTAAAAGAATTGTTTGTAAGTCTAATTTTATTGGTCAATTCCTATTGGTCATCTTAACTATCACTGTCACTTCAAATGTTGTTTCCTATTGGTCCTCTTAACTGTCAATGTCACATACTTCAAATGTTGTTTACTATTCGATCTAACTGTATAAATACGTGTTATCTGTAGCGTTTTATGACCCGGACCGCGTACTTTCTGGATGTTCGTAGAATATATGTTCTACTTCATATCAAGTCTTTTTCTTCTTCTTTTACCCACAGGGGGTTTAGAACAATCGGATTAGAGTAGTCTGTCGTGTTGCCAGATCAGCGCAACTCGTTTTCCGACTATGGAAAACTCGTAATAGTTCAAGCATATCAAATGACATGTTTACGTGCATGAGTAAAAGTAGTGGATAGCTCTTTATTTAAACTGTGTCAGAACAGAGTATAATAAGCATGATAAACATATACTTGTATGTAAAGCGTGTAACTTTTGTGTAAATGTAACTATGTAATCTCCATAAAGGATTGTATGCTAAGCTCAGGAGCAGGTTTATGAATTGACGGATGCTGTTACTTGACTGATTAAAACAACACAAATCAGATCATCAGGCTTAACTCTAATACACATCAATACTTAAATGAAAATATAATACGGGGATGTGGCTAGTAATGTCTTGCGATCACAATTAGAAGAGAATTCTACGCAGCCAATCTTGCGTTGACATTTTCTAGTCGACCAGTGATATCAACTGAAACAAAGAATAAGTTATCTACATGAATTGGCCTCCCTAATGTGTATTCATAGATTCAGCTACTCCTATAGAGATAGCTATATTGGGCGAACTACCAGACAACTTAACCAACGAATGAGTGAACATCTCTCAGGATGATTTGGAAAAGGCCAGGTAAAGACAATACACAGTTCTATCTTGGCACACCTGATTGACAGTGGTCACATCGTAGATTAAACTGAATCATTTCCATTGATCCTATTTCATATCTCCATCATTTTTTACCCATAGGGTTTGATCCCGCCTCCTACATATAGCGAAAGCTATAAGAATCCGAACAAACATATAACCCACTTATGTGTTCAGAAGAAATTCATAACACTCCTATTCCTTCCTTGGCCGAACATATAATCTATTATATGATGATATTTTATGATTATTATTTTCACATCCTGTAGTTGTTTATCATTTCTCACCTCTTTCCATTTATATTTTTCACTATCTAATTATTTACACACTTCTTATTAACGTAAATTTATCCAAGTTTGACATACTACTTACAATGTTCAACTACTGATTAGCACTTGTTTTCTTTTTTTTAGATTATTTTTATCACTAAAAATTACACCTACCTTCCTATTATCAATTTGTACTTTTATCTATCACATGTGTATCATCTGTAATCTATCTACTTCATTGTGATTGGTTTAATATTTTCATTTAAATATTCATGCATATTAGAGTAAAGTCTGATAACGATCTATTTGATTGGCTACATTTAAAAAAATGCAAAGTGATCCCATAAAAAAAAATCACCAAAAGTTACGCGTTCACATTGGACGCTCTCATAATAACATGGTAAATTAAACAATCAATACAATTTTGAAGGTAACATGCATTTGAATTACAGATTTAATTAGTTGTACATTGAAATCATCAATCAATCATTGTTAGACCATCACCATTAGAAACCTGGAAGCACTGGACAGCCGTTTCGTCCTGGTATGGGACTCATCAGTGGCAGTGCGCATCCACGACTCCTGGTGGTCTAACAATGATTGATTGATGATTTCAAATGTGTAGAAAACAAACTTCCAAAACTCTGGCCCAAAATATAGTAACAGTGCTCACTAGTGACTACTAGCTTCGTGAGGAAATTCTCGGAGTTCTGGTTGAGAAAACGTGACCAATAGAGTTCAACCCTGTCGGGTGTAGGCAGTAACTACCAAAGACAAATGGGTGAGGTCGCGCAAAATCCCTAGATCAATCAGAGTTAGACATTAACACCGTTGGATGCTGGCCCAGTGGTCCAATGGTTTGGCGTTCGCGCACAATGCCGAAGGTCACGGGTTCGAATATTGCGAGGTGCAGGATTCGTGGATGTGCACTGCCACTGATGAGTCCCATACCAGGACGAAACGGCTATCCAGTACTTCCAGGTTTCTAATGTTGCTCTAAAAATGATTGATTGATGATTTCAAATGTGTAAAAACACAAAGCTCCAAAACTCTGTCCCAAAAAATCAATCATTGTTAGACCACCGTTAGAAACCTAGAAGCTTCGGACGGCCATTTCGTCCTGGTATCGGACTCATCAGTGATAGTGAGCATCCATGACTCCTGCACCTCGCAGGATTATAACCCAGGACCTTCGGTCTTGCACGTGAACGCCTAACCTCTGGACCACTGGGCCGGCATCTAACTCGAATCAATCTACTTATAAAAGGAATGATTGATAGTTTGATTAAAATGTAGACCAATATTTGTCACTTACTGGAAGTTTAGTAGGTTTTATGTACTAACCTAAAGTTAACCAATACTTAACGTTTTTAAATTAGCCATACACAAAATAAACACTTACTGAACGAAATTAATTTACTCGAAGATTACCGATTTAAAAAATAAACGATCAGATTCTGTTAAAATGTAACTTACAATGCATGCATAGAAATTCCAGGATGGAGAAATTAGAGCAAAAAATAAGAATGGAGCACATAGAAATAGACTTGTAGAACAAACATAAGCATCTGCTGCAGGAATCCATCGACGTAAATAACGACCTAGTTCTGCACCAGATAAGACTCCGAAAATACCCGCAAAACATGTTGCAATTCCAAAAACAAGAGGAATGCTTAATAAAAGAAAAGACAGATGCACAGAGACTATAAAGTGTAGTGGTCGACATATAATTTTACAGTTCTTACAAATATATATATCGATTTTAACTGTTATATTCACTTCGAAAGTGACAGAATTCATTTGTTAGCTACTAAAAGATCAAGAATCATATGACATGTTATTATTTATGCTGATAATTTGATGATCACTGATTTATTTTAAGCAGATATTTTGATAGCATATGAGATACATATTCGATTCCTAGTAATGTCAACAGTTGCGAAAATTTCTTGATATAAAGCCTCTAGAGAAACAGAAATTACCTAATGACAGAATTTAGTGTTTGAAATGCAAGCACAAGCAAAATTATTTATGGGACCTAAATTTGATTGCAGTACAAAAAAGTGGTTAGAGAGCACAGCTTTCGGCGTCCGACAATAGTTGTATTTCTGGACCTCAAAGAGGCATTCGAGTCTGTTGATAGCGAAGTTCTGTTGCAGTGTTTGTCATTGAAAGGTATACCAAAGAAGTACATAAACCTTATACAAGCTCTCTAGTCGAACACTACTGGTTGAGGCAAGGCTTATGGCGAACTGTCATCGGGACTGGTTACTTCAAGTGGCGTTCGTCAGGGCTGCTCGCTTTCTCTATTCTTATTCAACTTTGGTATTGACACGCTTTTAAAGATTACACTATCTTTGTCTGACTTATCAGGAGTTGAACTTTTACGAGGCGATTGATTCACTTGTTGATTTAGAATATGCCGATGATATGGTTCTATTTGGTGAAGACGCTAACAAAATGCAGTCTTCTGACTATCCTAAGCAACAACACGAGCATGTTCGGGATGCGATTCTCCACCTCGAAATGCAAAATATTGAATCAGAATTAGCTTGCATCGGCACCTGAATAAGTGATAGGCAGTATGGTAGTTGAGAGTGTCGACCAATTCACTCATCTTGGAAGTATCATCAGTGCCGCAGTTCACTCGGTCCTACTATATAGATGCGAAACACAACCAGTAAGAGTAGATATTCGTAGGTTACTGGTTTTCGCAGCATTGCCCGTTTATTTGGGGACTATCGAGTAATCAATGCTGTTGTTAGGAAACGGGTACTAGGTACGGATGGCAAATCAGTAGATGGAGTATTGAAACTTCATCAGTTGAGGTGGTCGAAAAATGTGTTACGTATGCCTAACCACCGACTGCCTCGACGAGCAATATTTTGTGGTGTAGGAGTAGGTTGGAAGAAAGCTAGTGGTGGCCAAACCGAAACATGGTAAAAGTCCATGAAGTCATAGAAAACTAGACTGAGTCAAGTTGGTAAGTCTAGACTACCTGGTTGGGGTCCCCGAGATGGTTAGAAACCTTAAACGACATGGCTCGAAATCGTTTTTAGTGGCGCACGTTCATCCATTCATTGCGTTTTCCCAAATTCTAATCTTCTGAATTTCTCATCACCTCTATCGTTGTCTTTCTAAAATTTATCTCACTGGATTACACTTCTTGAATAATATCTTCGGACCCTAATCTCTCCTATTACTGTTAATAGTTCTTCCATCTCTACTTCTGTGGGATTTGGATTGACAATTGCGTCTCTGTGCTAATGTGGTATCGCAACACGAACTGATGTGTGTACGTACAAAGTTCTACGTTGTCGCTGATTAAACTGATTATTAAGTATACAAATCAATTGTAATTTAATCAGTTTCAAATCAAGCGGAAACTTTCAGTGATCCTTCATCCCAAAGTTTGCCAAGCATAACAGAAACCAATATTTTAACTGCCTATTGTGGATTTAATAACTCGAAGATAACTACCAGAGGATTCTAGCAGAGAAATTACTACAGTCAGGCAACGTAAAATTGATTTAGACTAAAGTTAGGTAAGTTTCAGTTGCAAAATAACAATATACTAACTTTTTGTATCTAATTTCATTCTCGTTATTGTATTTGAAAGTTTATACAACATTAGATTCACCGTTAAAGACAAAACGGCAAGCTTACTTGTAATTCTTCCAGGCAAAAGGATCATCGTTTACTGCATTTAATGCTGACTGTATTAGATCAATAGCAAACCAAGAAAGTGAACCCAAAACAAAACAGACACATGTATATCCACAGCAAATAAACATAAAAGCTGGGTTAGATAGTAGCGATTTCATATCTAACAACCATGAAGTGGTGCGCATGTGTAAACCTCCTTCTGCCTCACCACGAGGTGGATCTGAATGTAAAACACTCAGTAGAATTATACAAAAGACGCCTAAAATTGGTGTAATTCGTAAAGACCATTGCCAAGATCCTGTGAACCGAGTTATTTCTGAACCAAATATGAAGCCTAAACCGCTAAAAAAATGCAACCAAATGAAGGAGTTGAAAATTAAATAAAATGACTAAATGATCATTGAGTTTAAAAAAGTCAAGAGATTCAGAAACATATAAGTATGGAATGGAAAAAAAAGGTTATTGTTAATTTGGAAAATTAAATTGTATATTTATTTACATACTTTACCAAAAATCAAAGGGTGAATAATATTACTAAGCAATAATTACTGCTATTAAACTTTAAAAAGTAGCATCTTTAGTACATAAATAAACGACTTAAGTGTCCTGTAGGAAGGATTTACAATAAGCGAGACTTAATGACAAACCAAATAAATTCAAAACATCTTGTGATCAAATTCCATTGTGGCAACTTGAACTAATGTACGTACATACCAAGTTCTAAGTTATAATTGAATGATTGAGTCGGTAGTTAAGCACACATGTCCCGACCACCTCAACTGATGAAGATTCACTACTTCACCAACTGATCTTCCATCCTTATCCAATGCCCTTTTACCAATCCTAGCATTGTTAACTCGGTGGTCCCAGGATATATGAGCAATACCCCAAAGAAAACTTTGATCGAATACTCATACCTTAAGCTTCAAAAAGATGTAAACTAATGAACGAAATGGGGAGAGTTTAAGTGGGTACAGAGACAATTATAAACCACTCACTGTGACATAAAGCAACTGAACTTACCTCCCAACAGGTGCTGCAAAGTAGAAGAGTCCTAAAACTTTTGTCCTTGCATTTCCTGCAAATAAATCAGATAGAATTGTTGGAGCTAAGGTCGAGTAGCTGGCTTCGCCAACCCCGACGAAACAGCGAGTAGCTAAGAACAAACTGAATCGCTAAAAGCATTATTATAATGCTATCTTACATGGGCAGGAACAAACGAACTCCCAAAAGTAACGAGCACCCAAAATGTAAGACCGATTTGCATAATACGTTTTCTTTTCCAACGATCTCCTAGGTAACCAGCAACAGGACTGAGAACCGTGTAGAATACATAAAACATAGTTTGCAGCTGGCCCAGCTCTGAATCGTTAATTTTGTAGTAGCTTTTTACATTCTCAGGAACTCCTAATTAAATGTAACGTTGAGAATAATCTAGTTTTACCTGCAATTGTAAATCTATCCATATAGTTTAATACATTTATGAGAACAAAGATGCAGACGGTAAAAGTCTTCCGCCTTGGTGAAACCAAACAGTTTGACATTCCGCTAATACTAACATCCTTGAGGGATTGACTCAAGGACCTACTCGACGAGCCACTAGCCCCAAGGTCACTCATGAAGATTTGAAACCCTGGTCTAAACTGACAGACATATAATCGGACAACAAAACAAACGAAGAAGATTTTTGCGTTGGTTTCTGAAAACTAAACTTCTGTCACTCTGTGACAGTTACGGGGAAAGTTTTATAACAGTGTATGGTAAATCTAGTCTATATAGTGGTGAAAAACGTCTGAGAATATATTTACTCTCAAAAACACCAGCGACCATGACCTCTTCAGTATTTAATGTATTTTTCACAAGCTATTATGAAGCAGCCGGTTTCTTTGCTCTTGATTCTTTTTCCAGGTATTAGCTAGTGTCCAATGGATGGCAGTCTAGCCACTGGATGGCAAGAGATCTAGTCAGCTGACAACTATCTTTAATTTTAGTGAGTTCGTTTGTCGCAGGACAGTAGGGTTTCTGAATAATAACAGCCACCACGATACCAGGCATACCAGGAATAATAAGGAGAAACTTCTTATGCTATCCACTGAGGGAGCCTTGGTCCCTTCATCTATGAGATCATTCCCGGTTGGGACAACTGATGAGAATATGTTTTCGCGTACCTAGGTGTTTGCACTTTGGTCCGCGACTTTTCGAGGATTACCTCGAGAGGTTTGGCAGTGAGGCACCGGAAAGATGCTCATGTTGAAATGATTTGCCAACTTAATATAAACTATGAAATTATTAGATTACCTCTGATTCTTCCAGAACTCTGAATGAATTATCCCATCCTTTTTTACCTTTCCCGTAACATTTGGAGTTTCATTAATATTTAGAGTTGTATTACTATCTTCTTGTCTTTCGCAGCAATTTTAGCTTTTATTACCAGTAGGCAGGTAAATAAAACAGCCTGTAGGTACTGCTGAACTACTGTCGATCACAAGAAACCTAAACTATCCTGTATCATGGTGACTTCGTTCTTGTTCAGGTACTTAAAGTTTAATAGGTCTTAATGTACACAATTCATTAACATTCAAACACCTTGCTTTTGCACTCATATTTCGCCATACTCACGAATTTTCAACACCATTTTCTACAACCTCGTTATTTAGCTGCCTATACTTTCTAACTGACATGCATTTAACAGTTTATATCATTAGTTAACCTAATAGCTTTGTGATATGCGACATGGATATCTAGTCCAATTCGTATAAGCTAAAGTTGTCTGAGCTAATAAAGGCATCGTATTCCGAAAAGTTGCGCAAAAAATAGAGCTTAGAATAAAACATTAATTAAGACATACCACGACCGTTGGAGAGCCAAAAAATTTCAAAAAAGGTGGGACGGTGATGCATCTGACCGGGAGTGATGACGGCAGAGGGATAACCTCAATCCACACATGTCTGTGTGGCAGAAGATTTGTTTGCTTACAAATCTTTACGATATAATAAGATTCAAGTGATCAATCATACTGATGTTACTCTCTATTTTAACCACATCTGTGACTCATGTTTTTAACCCTGAATTGGTTTTAATTCCTAATAAGAAATCTTATTACAAGCTGGTGCAGGCGATTACATTGAAAACGAGCTCACTTGTGACTTTTTGAGCAACGGTGAAAAGAAAAGAAAAACATATTTAGATCACCCTGCCTTCCTTAGTATTCTTAGTATTCTGCAAATCAACACAATTTCTGACAGTTTAGTTCTTTTTAATCTCCTGCATACATAAGATTATTTTCCTATTCCTTATCTTACTAGTGACTTATCTTCATCTGCCTACATAAGTGAAGGTACTGTAAGCGTTCTAATACAGAAAAAGAAAGTCTGAGTAATCATATCATTTTTATTCAAAAAGGTATCTGCTAAGTCATGAATCTACTCTAAACAAGGATGTTTTCTTCTGTTCTCCTCATTTCTCTTTTTCAGCACCACATACTACATCTTAAAATAATAGCCTTGATATTCAGTTGGTTTACCAAAGACCCTGTCAAATAATTATAAGGCGAATCCCAGCACAAATACACGTTCCTGTCATCACCGTAATGTCGATCCATCAACTAGGACGGTAATTAACTCTTTTTTTTATCTTGTAGTCCTTTTCATACGCCTACTATCATAAAACCTTCTGAGGTTGGGAAAAAAATAAAACGGATAGTCCTTCCGTGGATGTCGCAGATATTCACAGTCGGAGGAATATTTCATCCGCAACGTATACCAGGTCGGGGATTCTCAAAGTCAAGTCAGACCAAGAGTTAGGAACGAGGAGGTTTGTCACTATATTTAGATGGGGATCGGGTTATCGAGGAGTAAGTGGAAAAACCTTGTTAGATCGTGTGAGTAGATGCTTTGCACGGCGCACCCCATGATGTTTGAAGACCTACGGCCAGGGTTTTTGAGTGGATAACATGATGTTAGCATCAACGTTTGATAAAAGCAAATGATCAAATGTTTGAGGAACGCGGCATAAAAGATGGCCAAAATCTTCCTAGGTTCAATACTTATTTTTTCTCATTTTAATTCGAAATTCAATGACATTCGTGTGCATATCACGGCATTTACGTAAATTTCGTCACCCATGTAAGGCGAGCTTTTAGCCGTTCAATTTCATTCATTTCTTCATCTTATACAATAGGATTCATGTGTAGAATTCTTCCTCATGATACAATACTCACGATGTAGGTTCACCTCTTTGCCTAAAAAACATGTTTTTTAACCATTTTTCTGACACTGTCATTTCGAAAAGCATCATTCGTATTCCTTCCGTCTAATCACTGCCATGTATTTTTGCAAGGTGCATCTTTATAATGCAAACTGTTTTCTCTAGAAAGCGGGATACATCTCAGCCTTTTGAAATGTCACTTTATGAACATTCTGACTCAAGGGATGAAAACATTTTACCTCCTCAATGGAAGTCTGCTTCCTGGTGTCGCGCCAGAGCGCTAAGTCCATCTAATAACCGGAGAAGACCGAAACACGAGCTCAGAATAAACTGGGAATTCAGACAAGGCTAACGCAGCTCTTCACTTTTAGCGAAGACAACTTAGTGCTATCACCTCAGAATTATTCTTAACACTGTTTAAAACGTTCACGTCTTATGGTTCTCATCGTCGTCATCCCATCTCCCTAAAAGAGACATACATTTCATGGATCAGGTGTAAAGACGAGCATTTTAATGAGTGATGGGGTTGAAGAACGAACATTACGAATATATACTCCTGCACTCAGGATTATTCCACCTACCTTACAGAAAAACCAAAGGTCATAATGTCGTACAACCTACTAAGTTCTCCGAATCATTCCCACATCAGCATCTTGCTGATTCATCTCAACCAAACCCTTCGAAGTAATCCTCAAAAAGTCGCGCATCAAAGAGCGAATACCTAAGTATGCGAAAACATATTCTCATTAGCGGTCCCAACCGGGAATGATCTCATAGATGAAGGGACCAAGGATCCCTCTACGGATGGCTTCAAGAAGCAGGTTGACAAAAACTTACTAATGGATTATCTTCTCCCTCTTGGACCAGCTGTACCTGGAGCCTGACTAGAATTATTGCAGTCTATTGACTGGAACGCCATTAATTAGACTCTACCAAATACCTGGAACTGTACCGAAAGAAAAGACTGCAGCGCAAATAAAACAACTGGCTTATAATACCACGTGTGTAAGATAGTGGAACCCGCGGCAACCCGAATACTTATCGTACCAAAAAAACAGGAATCGAGCGCAAATAAATAAATTCGTGTATACGAGCTCGTTAAAAAGATATTGGATGTTGGAAAATGGCCGCTACAAATCGAGTCCTTCAAGGTCGACCACACCAGCGAGCCGTTGGCTCCAAGACGGCATTCGGTATTTACCGTGCCCACCCTGTCCCCTACTCAAACTAAAGAGGTTTGTGATCATAAAATGTAGCAAAAACGGATGTTGGAGTAGAATTTCAAGTAATAATTCCATAAATCTAGACATCTATAACTTATCCGATTAGATCGAGAGCGTTTGTCGTATGATATCCTAAGCAAAGCGAAATGGGAAATAAAAGCATACTTTGTGGGAAATCCGTAGGTAACTTCAGTGTAAATGTAGGTGGAAATGCGTAAACGTGCCTCCATTTCATCAACCAAGTGTAGCTTGACCTTACCTAAAAATCGGCCCATATTCCTAGTGTCTCGTAATTAAGACTACATTCTTCCCAATGTTCATCTTACTCCTAAATGTCTACGAACTTATGCTATATCGGTTAATTTCTCTAAAACAATCTTCTTTCTGGAGAAAAAGTAATCATTTCACCAAACTAACACTTTTCCTACGTACTTTACTAGTCTTCTTTATTTCTCGTTTTGGTTTGTTTGGGATATATTCTGTAGCTCCAGCCACAGCTACCAAAACGGTTGACGAAAATATCTGTTGAGGCGCGATTAAGATTACTCCCAAAGTTATACAGAGACTGTAAAGGTAGTGTAGGGTAAATTCATAGTCTTGTTATGACAGTCAGTCTGTTGGGTCTCAAGCTATTTAGAACGCGTAAACTGCTCCAGTCACTTTTCTTGCTATTGTGTTATTTTCACTTGATATGAGGTAATTCCGGCATCAAATTCCCATATTTTTCTGGTTCCATAAATCTCTCAGTACTCCTATGCTGGTTTCTAAAGGCTATTATAAACTGTTTCTACTTGAGCTTTGAATTCCGAATCCCTCCTTACTACCGACGTTTTCAATTCTGGATTTTGATCTAAACTCTTTTGGGGAATTAGTGAATGCTTGATTCTAATTTATATCAATGAAAAATGTGTCCTTGCAGAGTTTTTTTCATATCATGTCTGCGGACTGCCCATTAATCTCACTACCCAAACGTTTTAATCAAATTACGGCCTTATGTACGGTTTCTAACAACTTGACTACATCCTTCCCTACCAAATGAGCCTGTCTTCTTAATATCATGCGAAAGCCTAGGAGTCTGTGTTAACTTGACATCAAGACACCGGTTTTAGATCACTTATATTCTTTTCTTGGGGGGGGGGGGGCAAGTTATTATCGTTATAAGTGGAAGCTGCACCTTATAGCCGCTTAAACTTACTTCTTTAATTAGGCGAAACATCCCCCTTTGAAATCTGGATAATTCAGATCCTGTAATATGGGTCTTATTAGAGATGAATATATATATATATATATATATATATATATATATATATATATATATCAGCTCCAATTGGTAGTAGTCATTTAGCATAGGAGTCTTGTACAGTGCGTAACTATTTTATCAACACAAACACTTTATTATTTTTAAAAAAACCACTTTTTTTTCTGATAGTTCTTTTGATGAGATAACATATTCACGAGTAGTGTCAACAAGCTGCATAACTGTGTACCGGTTTTGAAGAGTTGATTGAAGTACTTTGTAAAGACAAAAATCCCAGGTTAATCTATCGCCTTGTAACATTTCTATATCTCAACAATCATAGAAAAATAATAACCCTAAGACTATTATAGATAGAAACTAGTATTTTGGAGTCAAAAGTTAATAGTTAGATAGCTAAACTGGTTAGCAGAAGTAACTATAAGCAGCCCGGCGTGTGTATTCATATAGTCAATAGTATAGACTACTTAGTTTTGTACTTTCTGACTTCATCCATTATGACCAACAAGTTATAGTGCATTGAGTAAGAACTGTAAGTCATTAGTCTGTGACATTATTATTGACTATTGGTTTGAGCTAAGTTGATATGTACATATTTCCTGTTTGTTATCCATTAAGATAATGGTAATCATCATTGATTATTCATTTGCACTGTTTTATTTCCTCTCTCACTGTGCTTGTATAAAGTGTGATAACTTGAAAGTATATAAGGTTTTGCTACTACAACATCCTTTTACATAACTGACCATTATTGAATTTATAAAACATAATCACTCATGAAAATCCTAAGTACGAATTTAACCCTAATGTTATTTGTAATTTTTTTTTTACTTTTAATCCCTATAATTCATAACCTGTATATGTAACTGGTAGATGTCAGAGGATACTAAACTTTCTAACGAGCTTGAAAAAATCATACTGACGGAAAAATGTCAAGATGAGAAAAAAAGTAGGATATAATTTGTCTGTCAAACTTTAAAAACTTTTTTTTTTTAGTCCAATCGCATGAACCTTTATTCAAAGATATACAAAATGGTATCATTTTTCGACAATATGTCGGTGAATCAGATCTAATCAACATTATCAATCTGATTGGTAAAGATCTCTCGGAACCTTATTCTATATACACTTATCGATATTTTATATACAATTGGCCTCATCTATGTTTATTGGTTTGTTTTGTGAATTTATGTGTATTATTGTTAAATTGTGAAGGCTATCAATGAGCATGAAACTTGTGTTGGCACAATTGTTTGTAAAATAGAAACTCATTCAGAAGATATTCGAAGAGGATACATAGCTATGCTTGCAGTTGAAGAAAATTATCGTAGAATTGGGATTGGTTTATTGCACCGTTTTTTTTACTAACTTCTATCTAATCCTAGGATCACGACTGGTTCAGCTTGCAATTGAACTTATGATTAAAAATGGTTGTGATGAAGTGAGATAAATTTTTCAACACTTTTGATTTCGAATTTGTATTCACAGTATCGTTGTGCTGTTTTCGTATTCATTCAATTGCTTTATTGTTGTTATCATAACTTGTTATTCATCATTATCTGAGGTATTTATTCATTGATATGAAAATTTTTAGTACAACGGTACAGCACTGCACTGTCTTTGCTTTCTGTAACCAACATAGTGGGTAATACGTACTCATTATGTCGTAATAGTTGTAGAACTGAACCTCCAACACCATTACTAATCAGAATCTCACCCTAACTTTAGTTTAATCATGCGAAATGTATAATTCAAAGCTGAATACCCAGCTATATCTTTGATTATAAGGTAGCATTAAATTCTATACACCATAAGAACTTATCTAGGTGTACCCGTACTATTTTATGAAATTGTTCACGTCAAAGAGGTTTTTAATTCTAGATTAACAACCCAGTGATATAAATCAGTTGGTCATAATCAACGTGAAGCTGGACACAAATGTACGTCAGTCCAAGTCGTGATACTACAGAAAAACAGTATTTTCCAAGTAAAAAAATTACAGTAGGTAAGTCTGGTTACTTCGTTAGGTTAGTGTACACATGAAGCTGGTATTAATTCATTGTGAGAATTATCAACCTCATCTAAAATACTACCCATTAATTTTCAAAAAGCTTTTCAATGAATTTCGAAATTTTTGATATTTATAATGAACTGAAATTTGTTTTTATACTTTACTCCTTGTATGTACTGTTTTAGATTGTTTTGGAAACAGAAGTTACCAACAAACCAGCCCTTGCACTTTATGAACAGCTTGGATTTTACAGAGACAAACGGCTTCTTCGTTATTATTTGAATGGAAGAGATGCTTTTCAGTTAAAATTGTGGCTAACACCGCGTATGAGCAATGGGATTTTCTGATTTCAGTGTTCAGTTATTTACTGATGTATTTTTTTTACGATTCCTTGTAAATATGTGCTTTATTTTGATGAAACTTAATTTTCTTGGTTTATATCTATTCATATTTTGTACATTAAAAGATGACGGACATGTACACTAAGTTTTCCTTTTATTCTTTATAATACACAATAATTCTGATCTTTGTATGTTTTCATTCAATGTTCCTGGGTACTTCTCAAGTCAGTCAGTCAAGTCAGTTGCAACGTAGAACTTCGTACGTATGTACATCAGTTCAGGTTGCCATACCACATTAACACAGAGACGCAAATGTCAAATCAAATCCCATAGTGATAAAGATAGTAGAGGTATTAATGGTAATAAAGAAGACTAGGGTTCGAAGATATTATTCAAGAAATATAATTCAGTGAGATAAGGTTAGAAAGACAAAGGTAGAGGTGCTGACGAATCCAGAAGATTAGGATTTGAGAGAGCTCAAAGAATGGATGCACCTGTGCCATTGCAAACGATTTTGAGCCATGTCGTTCATGGTCTCTAACCATCGGTGAATTTCGTCTAACAGACCCCAATCAGGTAGTCTACATCTACTAATATGACTCAGTCCACTTGTCAGTGACTTCATGGATTTGTGCCATGTTTTGGTCTGGCCGCCCCAAACTTTCTTCCACCCTACTCCTACACCACAAAACATAGCTCGTCGAGGCAGTCGGTGGTTAGGTATTCGTAACACATGTCCCAACCACCTCAACTGATGAAGTTTCACCACTTCATCTATTGATCTGCCATCCTTACCTAGTACTCGTTTCCTAACGACAGCATTGCTTACTCTGTTGTCCCAGGATATACGAGCAATGCTTCTTAAACATCTATGATCGAATACTAGTAACCTACGAACATCTACTCTTAACGGCCATGTTTCGCATCCATGTAGGAGAACGGAACGAACTGCTGCGCAGTACAACCGCCCTTGTGTTAGCGAACGGATATCTTGCCTACGCCATAAGTGACACAGGTTGGCGAAAGCCAATCGAGCCTTCTGTATCCGAGCTGAGATTTCGTCAGTCACCAGGCCATCGGCACTGATGAGACTCCCCAGATAAGTGAAGTGATCAACACGCTCGACTACTTCACTACCTATCACTAGTTCAGGTGCCAATGCAACCCAGTCTTGAAGCAACATTTTGCATTTCGACGGGGATAACCGCATCCCGAACATGCTCGCATTGTTGCTTATGGTAGTCAGAAGACTGAATTTTGTCAGCGTCTTCACCGAATAGAACTATGTCATCGGCATATGATGGGTACTTCTAATGCATCTGATAGCTGATTCTAAATTTATTTGTTTCGAATTAATGTCCATGTCATAACATTGCTTGGTCTCTTCTTTTTTTTTATACCCAAAAATCACTTCAGCTGAAATTTATGTGGCAATTGTATTTTTGTCGGGTTATCAGATTTTTAAAGCCATACTTATCCTCATTGTACTGTAACCGTCCTAGTAAATCAGTGTATTCTTTATAATTTTGTAGTCAGTAGTCAAAATCGTCCTTTTATGCGCTTATTGGTCTAAAGTCAGTGCAAAGCAGCTTGTTTAGATTAGGAGGAATTTACACATGTCTAATGGGAGATTAGAAATTCTTAGAATTGTTACCAAAATTGAAGTTTGGGTAAATGACATTATATAAATCGTCTTTAACTGTTAACACTTAATAACGATAGGGTCATTTATTTGATCATTCTTTTTGGGTTTCGTTTGTTTATTTGCTTCATGTTAGACATTATTAATTGGCTCAGTTTGTTTAGGATAATTTCATTGGAAGTGTCACTTTATATATATTAACAAGTACTTACTTACTTACTTACGCCTGTTACCCCAAATAGAGCATAGGCCGCCCACCAGTTTTCTCCAACCAACACTGTCCTGGGCTTCCCTCTCTAGTTCTGTACAATGTTTGTTCATTCCTCTCATATCTTTCTCTATTTCTCGGCGTAATGTGTTTCTTGGCCTTCCTCTTTTCCTTTTGCCTTGAGGGTTCCATGTGAGGGCTTGTCTTGTGACGCAGTTCGGTGCTTTTCGTAGTGTGTGTCCTATCCACTTCCATAGCTTCTTCCTGATTTCCTCCTCCACTGGAATCTCGTCTGTTCTCTCCCACAGTACGTTGTTGCTGATGTTGTCTGGCCAACGAATCCGAAGTATTTTGCGTAGACAACTGTTCATAAACACTTGTATCTTCTGGATGATGGCTTTGGTAGTTCTCCAAGTTTCCGCTCCATACAGTAGAACTTTGTTGACATTTGTATTGAAAATCCTTATTTTGGTTTTGGTTGAAAGTGGTTTGGAGTTCCAGATATTTTTCAACTGTAGAAATGCAGCCCTTGCTTTGCCGATGCGCGTTCTCACATCTGCATCAGATCCACCTTTCTCGTCGATGGTGCTGCCAAGATATGTAAAGGTGTTAACGTCCTCTAAGGCATCTCCATCAAGAGTGATTTGGTTGGTGCACGTTGTGTAGCATCGGAGAATTTTGCTTTTTCCTTTATGTATGTTGAGACCTACTGCTGCCACACTGGTCGTCTTCTCTTGCATTTGTTGTTGCGTGTGAGATAGAAGAGCCAGATCATCTGCGAAGTTCAGATCGTCCAGCTGCGTCCTAACTGTCCAGTTGACACCGTGCCTCCCTCCAGATGTCGACGTCTTCATAATCCAGTCGATGACCAGGAGAAAGAGAAAGGGTGAGAGTAAGCAACCTTGCCTCATACCGGTCTTCACCTCGAACGAGTCTATTAACTGTCCATCGTGTACGATTTTGCAGTTGAATCCATCATAAGATTTCCATATGGTGTTGACTATCTTCTCAGGCACACCGTAGTATCGAAGAAGCCTCCATAGTGTTTTCCTGTCCAAGCTATCGAATGCATCCTCGTAGTCAATGAAGTTGATGTAGAATGGTGAGTTCCATTCAATTGATTGTTCCACAATGATCCGTAATGTAGCACTTTGGTCAGTACACGATCGATCCTTACGAAATCCTGCCTGTTGATCTCGAAGTTGGGCGTCTACGAATTCCTTCATTCTGTTTAACAATACTCTGTTGAGGACTTTGCCTGGTATTGAAAGAAGAGTGATGCCTCTGTAGTTCTCACACTTGCTGAGATCGCCTTGCTTTGGTACCTTGATCAGGTATCCTTGTTTTCAGTCTATTGGTACTTGTTCCTCATCCCAAATTTGGTTGAAGAGAATGTGAAATATTTTCGCAGTTGCTTCCACATCTGCTTTCATTGCCTCTGCTGGAATGTTGTCTGGTCCTGCTGATTTGCCACTCCTGATTTGTCTGATGGCCATGCTGATTTCCTCAATTAAAGGTGCGCCAATATTAATTGGGAGGTCCATGGATGCTGCTTCGATGTTGGTTATGTTCAGTGGAGCTGGTCGATTCAGGAGTTCCTGAAAGTGGTCTACCCACCTATTTCTCTGTTGTTCAGTGTTGCTGATTACTTTGCCTTCCTTACTTTTCACTGGTCGTTCTGGTTTACGATAGTTTCCGGCGAGCTTCTTTGTTGTTTCGTACAATTGTCTCATGTTTCCTTCTCTGGCAGCCTTTTCCGCCGTCATTGCTAGCTCTGATGCTCTTCTTCACTTCCCTGTTTGCTTCTGTGTATGCAGCTTGTGCGGTAATTTTCTCTGCTCTTGTTCGGCTGACATTGATTGCTGCCCTCTTGTTCCTCCTTTCTTCAATTTTTTCAAGAGTACCAACAGAGATCCATTCCTTGTGATGGTGCTTCTTGCGACCAAGGACCTCCTGACATGTTGAAGTGATTGCCTCCTTAATCCCTTTCCAATTGCTCTTCAATGTTGCGTCCTCTCCATTGAGTAGATCCTGAAAGGCCTGGAACCTGTTGGTGAGGGCTATCCTGAATTCGTTGAGTTTTACGGTATCCCGAAGAAAGGCCGTATTAAACTTCTGTGATGTTGTCTGCCCCGTTGTCCAGTGCTTCTTTAGTTTCAGTTTCATTTCGGCGACCAGCAAATGGTGATCTGAAGCTATATCAGCTCCTTTCTTGGTTCTCACATCCTCCATGGTCCTTCTGAACTTTTTGTTGATACAGATATGGACAATTTGGTTTTGAGTAGTGTGGTCCGGTGAAATCCATGTGGCTTTGTGAATGCGTTTGTGGGGGAATATTGTGCCGCCGATGACCAGTTTGTTGAAGACACATAGGTTTGCAAATCTCTCACCGTTTTCGTTCCTTTCTCTTAGTGCATGTCGTCCCATGATGTCTTCATATCCAGTGTTGTCCATTCCAACCTTGGCATTCAGGTCTCCCATAAGAATCGTCAAATCCTTTGGTGAGCATTTGTCGACGATTGACTGCAGCCTTTCGTAGAGTTGATCTTTACCGTCGTCATCCTAGTCATTGGTAGGTGCATAACATTGGATGACGTTCATTGTAATGTCCTCTTTCTTTGTTTTGAAGGATGCTTTAATGATCCTGGGTCCATGAGATTCCCATCCTATTAGTGCCTTTTGTGCATGTTTGGACAGCATCAGTGCAACTCCTTGTGTATGTGAAGCGTCTTCCTCTTCATGACCAGAGTATAACAGCAGTTCCCCTGAAGCAAGTCTCAGTTGTCCTACCTGTGTCCAATGTGTTTCACTGATACCGAGCACCTCGAGGTTGTATCTTTTCATTTCTGCCGCAACTTGAAATAGTCTTCCAGTCTCCCACAATGTACGAACGTTCCATGTACCTAAAAGAATTGTTGCTCTGGTTGTCAGAAGAGGCATCGGCCCCGTGACTTCCGAGGGAACTCGGCTTTCATCACGAGACGTCATAATTCTTGTTGCAACTCCCAGGGCAGAGTTAAAATGGTTTTTAATTATTTTTTCTGGTTAGCGTTTTTTTGGCAAGTGAGATTTCGACAGAATGGGGTCGCCAACCCCATGTCCAACCCTCCTCGTTAATCCGGGCCTGGGACCGGCAGTAGCCCCTAAGGTTCCACTGGCGGAGTTATATTAACATGTAGGTGAGACATTATTTTTACGGTCTTATCGCTTCAGTGCCATGAATGAAATCATAAAACCATGTGTTAATATGAGGAGAGTTAGTGTTATCAGACCTATTTTTAAGCATTGAGTAAAATACCAATCTTATTAGTATGAAGAACAAATCGTATATGAA